TGAGCCACCCGGGTGCCCACCCTCATAGTCTTTTATTCTCCTGGCCCCCCGAGGAATTAGATGGAGAGACATGACCTGTGTTTGTGTACAGTTTAAATGAAGGAATACCCCCTTCCCTGATCATATATGTGTATGCATTTGATTAATGCCTTTTTCTTTTTCATTTGGTCTGTAGGATCCCAGAGCTTCAGCTCTATGTTTCATATGTAAGACAGGAAAAAGAGAGCAAGACAGAGCTGCCCTTTTGAGGCAGACGAGCTGGAAACCCATGGGAGACCTTTAGTCCTTCCCTGTTCCGTGGAAAAGGATGATCTCTTATTACTGACCCAGAAATGTCAGATGGGGCCCAGGGTGAGAGCACATGGCTGTACCTGGGCAAGTTCATGACCATCCTGCAAAAAATGACTCCATGTACGTGCCCTCCAGACAAGGAGTCACTCACATCATCCTGTCGGCTGAGAGTCAGCCCTTACAAAATCAGTTTGAGCCACTGAAAACAACTGAAATTGAATTCACTGCAATTTGAAAATATTCTGTTTACTTAAAGCCCAGAAGCCTGGTATGAGAAGAAGTATCCAGGCACAGGCAATGGTAGTTAAATTTGTTCATTTTTCTTTCTTGTTGCAACTTTATCTTTTCCGAGCAATTTAATGAAGACTCCAGAGGAAAGAATTAAATGTCTGCTGGTTCAATTACCAAATAATGAAAAGGTCGAAAGGAGCACCATGCACTGTGTGCTGAGCTGCTATAAAAGCCTATTCTTAGAGGGAAAATCTTTTGTGGGCTGTTCACACTTGCATTTTGCCACCCACAAATTGTGCAGACGAGTGTCAGTGTAAGAAGCAGAAATCAAGAGCTGGTGTGGGTCACTCTGCACCAGGGTGAAAAGGCCTGGCCCACGGGAGCGTCTCATGATGCCCATGGCAGCAGGTGGAGGCACGGCGGAGGCCAGAGTCTTCATCAGGAGGGACCGCGTTGGCATTAAATCCATCCTTTGAGAAGGTTCTAATCATACTTGGCCCTGAATGCACTATAACTAGCCTGTCCTTAGGGCCACATGCAGGGAAGGTCTCGAGGGCCAAAGAGACCTGCCGTCAAGGATTTCAAGGACTCTGTGCAGTCCCCACAGCATTTGAAAAGCCACCCCTGCCTCCAACCTGCCCCAAATATTCACAGAAAAGGAAGATTACGGAAACACAAAAATCCTCTACAGAAGCCAAAACCAAAGATAACCTAAAACCATGGCATGGCTTTTGGGATTCATTTGAACAATGGTTTTAAAGCTTTAAAAAAATCAAGTCTCGCTGGAAATGATATACAAGCAAAGAGGCAGCTCAGTATAGACTCTCCTCGCCTCAACACCCACAGTGATGGTCTCTCGGCTCATGCTGGGGCCTCTCCAAAACCTTTTGATCCGTAACATCGAAAGACTCAATGGACAAGTCATTTTCACCTTTAAATTAAGTTCTTCTTTGGTTACATAAGAGAATAGCGTCATTCCTAGGAAATATACACTGAAATGTGTAAGGACAAAAAGCTATGATGTATATCACTGGCCCAGAGATAAAAGTGTATGTGTGGGCACCTGGGTGGCTCAGTCGGTTCAAGTGACTGACTTGATTTTGGCTCAGGTCATGATCTCACGGTCATGAGGTCAAGCCCCGCATGGGGCTCTGTGCTGGGTGCAGAGCCTGATTAAGATTCTGTCTCTCTCCCTCTCCCCCTGCCCCTCCACCCCCTACTTGTGCGTGCGCTCCCTCTTTAAAAAAAAAAAAAAAAGTGCATGTGTACATCCATCTCTATCTCTTACCCACATAGATGTAAACATTTATACACACGTGTATACATATCCGTGTGGAGGGGATGAGAGAAAAGCAAGAGTCAATGATAAAGCACATGGGGTAAAATGGTGAACAACTGTTGAATCTAGGTAAACAGAATTTGGGTAGCCTTTGAAATATTCTTATTTTTACAACTTACCTTTAAGTTTGAAATTATTCCAAGTTTCAAATTGTATAAAAAGTTTTAAATAGTTTAAAAAGTTTTAAAATTTTAGGGGTGTGTGGGTGGCTCAGATGGTTAAGTGTCTGCATTCAGCTCAGGTCATGATCCCAGGGTCCTGGGATCGAGCCCCGCATCAGGTTCCCGGCTCAGCGGGGACCCTGCTTCTCCCCCTCCCTCTGCCTCTCCTCCTGCTCATGCTCTCTCTCTCTCTCTCTCTGTATCTCTGTGTCTTGAATGAATAAATTAAAAAAAAATCTTTAAAAAGTTTTAAAATTTTAAATTCTTTCTCTTTTCTTCTCCTGTGGATGAGCTTCTTGCTAGAGACCCTTATAATTATACAGCAGCCACACCCTGGGTAAAAGTGCCCACAAGAGCAGCCCCACTCTGTGAGAAGGACAACAATCCTGCTGATGAGGATTCTCTTGGGGAAACCAGTCACACAGACGGTTCTAGAATGGCTCCTCCCATGGTGTACTGATGATTACTGAGAGCTTATGCTGGGGTTGGAGACAGGATTATGGCTAGGAAATGCAAGGATGTCTCTAGCTAATTTCTTCCTGTTTTTCCTTAAAATACTATAACCATGGGTATTAGGTTTTCAAGGTTTTAAAAAGAACTGATACATCTCGAATCATCTTAAAATACATGCAAAAAAAACTGTATGAGAAAAAGAAGATCCCTGAATTATTTATGCCACTCTTTTTGTGGGGTGGTGTCTGATACAAGAGACAACAGGATCAATCTCTTATCAGAATAGAACCTCTCTGAAGATAGGTGTAGACCCTAATCAGTACTGTTACTCTTAAACAGAATTGTGGGATGCAATTGAATGTAAGTATGATTAAATGAGCAGCACCTGAGACAAAGTTCTATGCTTTCTATGCTCACCCCCTTATCCTTAGGTATGCATTTTAAGATCTATGAAAACCTAAGAGGAGGCACCTTTACCTATAGGGTTCTCTCCTCATAAGTTTATATTCTCTTCTCCTTTTTTAGAATTCCATACTTAAAGTCTACTAGGACCATAAAGAAAAAGTAAAGGGGAGGTATGAACTGTAAAAAGTTATTTTCCACACATAGAACCAAACAGGATTAATATCCAGAATATAGAAATCATTCCTACAAATGAATTAGAATTAGAAAAATAATTCAAAATAAAAATTGTCCAAAAAAAAAAAAAATGAACAGGTATTCCATAGAAGAGAATGGCCAAAACACTCTGCAAAGATGCTCAAAGTCATTATTAAGTGGAAAATGCAAATTAAAACTGCAAACATCAAGTCATAAATACCAGATGGGCAAAAATTCCAAAGCCTGACAATATCAAGTGCTGACAGAATTGCAGAACAATGGCATTCTTGGTTACTACTGGAGAGAGTGAAAACTGGAAGAGCCACTTTGGAAAATAAGTGAGCATTATAGAGCAGAGTCGAAGGTAGGCCTGTCCTCTGACCCAACAATTCTACTGATGGGTATATGTTGAGGAACTCTAGCAAAGATGTAGTGGGGAGTGCTATGCAAGAATATTCCTAACAACACTTTTATAATGGAGGCCATCCAAAGTCTGCCAACAGAACAGTGAGCAAACAACTTGAGGCATTTCATACAAGGGAACACTCTCAAGCACTGAAGATAAAGAAACAACAGTTGTTTGCATCTACAAAATGATCATCGGGAACATAATGTGGGATGAAAAAAGCAAATTATAGAAGAATGCATACATTATGATTCTACTTATGGAAAGTTCATAAGGGATTCGTTTTTAGGGACAGAAATACATGTGGTAAAACTCTATAGAACAATGGAATGACAAACAAAAATTCAAGATAGTGGTTACCTCTGTTTAGAGCAGAAAGGAAAAGCAATCGGGACAAGATACATGGACCTTTAATGGAAATGCTAATGGTCTATTTCTGAAGAGAGGTACAGGGCCCACATTCATTGTATCATGATCCTTTACACTTACACATTTTACAAATATTCTTTTGCATGTATCTAATTTTCAGTAAAAACTTTTAAGAACTTGTGAAGTAGCAAATGACCAAAAATATTTTATCCAACGTTTATTGGAAGGGAAAAAGCATATAACAACATGCCAGCCATTAGGCTCTTGAACTCTTCCTTTCCAAACATGCCCTACTAGTCTACTTGTCTCTGGTCCCTCTTTGCTCACTCAATCCAAAGCCAACCATCACCCTGAGCTACTGGTTGTCCGGGGTTGGGAGAATATTATGCGAAGTTCATCAGAAGGAACGGCCAAGCTTCTCTCTCTGTCATCCTATCCCTCATTAAAACTCAGGCCTCCTCCAGCTGTGAATGACAGGCACATTACCCTGTTCATGCACGTGCACACATACATCCATTCTCTGCAGCTTGATTGTGTTATTATTATATCCAAGTATTACTGAAAGCGATTGTTACCTGACTCTTGACTTTGACTTATTCTCTAATATTTGTATACATTTCATAATGGTAATAGAGTGCTATATTAAAACAAAGCATCTCCCTATCCTCCAATCGGAGCCTGAAATCTGAAAAAGCTCCCTGAAACACAGACATCTATGTTCCAAATACAACCATGTAGCAATAGCTCCTTAAGCCCAAAGTAAAATTTAAAGTGAGTGGTACAGCTATTGTCCACACAGCACTTAAGAACAAAATAAATCTAGCTCCAGGGAAGTCTGACTCCTCACCTCGGTAGGTCATTAAAGATAAGAAGACATTCATCTCTCCCAGGCCCACGGGCCACCCAGTGGATGGGGATGAAGAAAGTTTTGCTCTATTTTCAGTATCATGAAATGTTTTAAAAACTTGTTTGCCTATCAATGCCTACAGTGAAGTCTGGCTTCTTGCAGCAGTAAAATCCCAACAGGAAAAAAAAATCAGACGGGTGAAAAAATTCTCCTAAATGACCTACCTGGAAAAGCCTATCAGCCAGACCCCTGACGTTGACCGAAGACCTACTTAGTAGCCGCTGCAAAAATACGACCACTTACCTCAGCATATTGTGCGACTGAACTGGCTTCAACAGCATACACTCTCCTAGCTCCAGCCTGCACAGCAAAAAATGACAGTATTCCTGATCCGCAACCAACATCTAGAACAACCTGGAGGAGAAAGCCAAGACAACAAAGAGGTGAGAACACACGCAGGTATGCCGGCCCCATGCCAACTTTGAGCCTTGCCATCAGACTTAAAGTACGAGCTTTGCTATTTATAAGTGGTCTTACCTTGGCCAACTCATGAATCTCTGTGAGACTCCTTTTTCTCAGATGTTTGATCGGCTTAATAATACCCACTTTTTAAGGTTTGCTACAGGGATTAATGAACATAAAATGTATACAAATCGCTTGGCACCTAATTGGTGTTTTTCAAATCACTGCTCTTATTATTATAGTTTCTTTGTAGCATGGATTGCTTTTGGGATGTTTAGGGCCAAGAAAAGTAAAGTGTCATTAATGGGCTTGCTTATCAAATCTGTTAGCATGAACAAAATGAAAATGTCACCAGTTTTTATATGTTTTGTATGTTTTACATATATAATTTTATATAAATAAATATATTTTTTATTTATTCAGAAATAACTGAAGATAAAGCCTTTAAAAATCCAAAAGTGAGACATGTGCTTGTTTTTTATCCAGGCCCCTCCACAAAGTTGGGGAGGTTTATAAATGGAAGGTAGGAGGGTATTAAGACAGTGGACACATGGAATCTACAGACACTTTTCTTCTTTTCTCTGTGTTCAGACCTGGGACTTAAATCAAGAAAGTCACCATTCACTTGTGCACTCACAAGCACAAGGGCCCAAGACTTGGGCCGACACGCTAAGAGCAAGCGGTGGATGGCATGTATTGGGTCCCCTCCCCAGACACTGCCGAAGCCAAGGCCCAAATCTCAATCTGATCACTGAAATTTCAGGCTACGGGGTTCCTGCCCCATCAATGACTTTGACTCTTAGCATCTTTCAGCACTAGCTTTGAGCGAGACATTTTGATTGGTTCCAAATGCTTACAGTAAACATTTGAGTAAATAGCATTATTTTGTCTACTTCAGAGATGACCAAATTGAAGTGCAGATTGACCAACCAGCCCAAGTTCACTTAGCAGCAGACAGGGGAGTTAGGACTTGACTCTGGGTATTTCTGCCTTCACCCAAGCTCATGTTCCATGAAACCATACACTGTTTACTTAAATTCATCTTTATAAATCTGACATTTTAATACAACGATCCCAATAGGCGATGTTTGACAAGGAAACAAAGTATTAGTTAGTATTACTTTTTGTAGGAAATTTAGAAAAGATTCTTTTTTTACTTGATAGCAGGAAAATTTTTCCAAAAAAAAAAAAAGGAAATATCAAGACGGTGTGTGTGTGCGTGTCTGTGGGTTTTAAGCGCAGCACCACGCTGTGCTGACGCAGATACCGTGCCGTTATTCTAAGAGAGCATGTTGTTGGTGACGGGTTCACAGCGCTCACTTACATTAATGCTAGAACTGCGGCTGGATTCCATACGGTTTCCTAGGGTTTGGGTAATTAGGAGCATTACCAATTTAAAATGTCACCCAGGCTCTGGAATTTGCTGTCAGGCTGTCTATACTTTTAGAAATACCAACATTCCCTTCCCCTCATCCTCCCTTGGAAATACATCTTCACATGGGTCCCGCTCCATTCCAAGAACACCTATGACCACGGTTTAGGGATGGAAGGCCATTAAGGTAGACGGTACAATCCACAGCCCCCCGCCCCCGAAAAAAGATACACCAGATCCAGAAGAACCTTTCTGGAGCCTTATTCAATAAAAATATAAAACTTTAGGGGTGCCCAGGTGGCTCAGTCGTTAAGCGTCTGCCTTCAGCTCAGGTCATGGTCTCAGGGTCCTGGGATCGAGCCCCGCATCGGGCTCCCTGCTCAGCGGGGAGTCTGCTTCTCCCTCTCCCACTCCCCTTGCTTGTGTTCCCTCTCTCGCTGTCTCTCTCTCTCTCTGTCAAATAAATAAAATAAAATCTTTAAAAATATATATATATATAAAACTTGAGATTCCCCGTTCAGTCCAAAATACGGATGCAAAATTAGGAAACCGTGGAAACCGCACCTGCTTGCTCTGGCGGCAGGTGCCCTAGAAATGAGTGAGTGGTGTTCTTTCCCTCTTTTACGAGGGCGCTTAAAGCACATCTTAGAGCAGTGTTTTCCAGTTCCTGACCCTGCAGATTAAAACCACAGCAGTGTCTGCCACTAGGAGAGAGAGGGGAGAGGTGATGGGGAGAAAGGGAAAAAGGCCAGGGATGGGAGGGAGCCTGATGCATGTGGTTCAACCTCTGCCAAATCAGTCCATTTGGTGCAAGATGCTCTAACAGACCCAGACCATACCTAAGGAAGAGAAGAAAATTACAAACGAAGGCAATTGCCCAAATACCTTATTTCAATAGCTAATTTCAGGCCAAAATAACCTTATTCATTTGGTTATTTCAAAACAGAGCGTAGGCCTTGGAAAAACAGATAAGGTCATCTGCTTTCCACTGGTGCATTTAAAAAATTAATAAAGCGATTTTCAGTCTGGGGCTGATAGGAGATGGTGGGGAGTGAAAGGAACATTTTGCCTTGTCTGTGTAAGCCACGCAACATTGGAAAAAAAGCTTTGGTGGGCTTAGAATAAATTCTCTGGTGAAAAAAAAAAAGGCTGAAGCAAATATTTAGGCTCTAATGAAAATATACTATCCTTTCCAGCCGGGGTTTCCAAATCTGGGAGAAGAGAGGACGCTAACACAGATAGGGTTTCTAAAGGACGTTCTCCTGACGCTATTTGATCATCAAGCCTCCTTGGGATGGGAAGTACATAGTTTATCCCCGTTTTATTGATAAGGTAACTGAGGCTTGGAGACATCGCTTCCAGCTCAAGGTAACATGGCCGGTAAGTAGCAGGGCCAGACAGTGCTTGGCCTCCACACCACTGTGGCCTTCTTCTGTGTATCAAAAGATGAAAGGGTGTACCGTGTAGAGATGACAATCTGATCACATCACACCCTAAGCAGACACCACCAACGGTGCTACACAGCTAAGGGGAAGGTCCCCGTCTCCTTGGAGTGTTGTCCTTGGGCCTCAGAAATCCAGCCCTGAGTGACTTTTCTGGCCTCTTTTTCTGTAATTCTCCTCTTGTCCTCCCCACCCCTCCCAGGCTCAGCAAGTGCATGCCCTTCCCTGATTCTAGGCTCACTCGTGTGCCATCCTCTGCCACAGAGGCAGCTGACAGCCCCCCAGAGGTTCATGCTCTCTCAGAGTCCACAGCTCTGTGTGGCCATAGGACCACTTCGGCCCAATGGAGTGTGAGGGGAATAATCAGGGTCCCTTCTGGGAGAGGGTGGCCGAAGGTACACTGTGCCTTCCCCACGCTCTCTGCTCCTTATGGAGCGGCACTGGAAACCAGCTCCTGGAGCTAAAAGGAGCCCAAACCCCTGGGTCACCCCTTTGGGAAAAGCCACTCAGAACACACTGGGCATGGCAGGAGAAAGAAAGATTTCATTACGTTAAACCACTGAGATTTAGACAGTTTGCTTTAGCAGTTGGCTTACAGCTGGGTGAAATCCCTCATCTCATTTTTCTACCTGGGGAAGTGAAGACCAAGCCCAGAGATCACATCTTTGGGATGCTTTCTCTCACTTCCCCACACAGTCAGTCTAGGCTGGGCTCTGTGTGCCTGGTACATAGCTCTCCAGGAGAGCTTATTACAGGATACTGCAAGTACTTCTTTATGTGTTTGCCTTCCCTGCTGAGCCCATGAGCTCCCCAGAGACAAAAATCACATCATTTATCTCTCAGCCCCTAGTACAACAGGAAAACAAAAACCATTAATAAATATTTGTTAACTAAATGACTGAACGCAATGACTTAATAGGGCAGTCTCCTCATTCCAACATTGTCTTGAACTATCTCTGGAAAAGGCTTATGACTTTTTCCAGCCATTTGAACTCTGGGAGTGTCCTTGCATGCAAAGCTAGCAACCAAAGAGGCTAAGCCCAGGATGCCCTTGCCTTATTAAAGACTTATATCCTGAACTGTTCCCCCCAACCTTACCTTCTGCTTCCTGGCCTATTTCTTATTTCTTGGCCTCCAAGCCACCTCACAGACCTGACATTTATACTGTTTCTCTTCATGATCTCTGTTCTTCCTCCTTGACTTTGATCCCAACGTGTCCCCTGGGTCACTCTTGTGACCATCTGAGGCAGGCTTCTTGGAAGGTTCCACGTTCCTTTCTGCCCCAGGGCCTTAGTATATGCTGCTCCCTTTGTGTGGGGTGCTCCCCGCTGCACACTCTATGATACCAGTCTATGGCAAATTTTTTTTTTACCTACTCAGTGCTAATTGTGCTGGATCTTTTCTATTTGCATCTCTAGATCTGTGCTCCACTCTCCTCCACTTGCTCTTTGTCAGGAGGCTAACCTATGTGGACTGCACCAATGGCTTCCTTGCCATTGGACTCCAGGTGGGAGCAGTCAAGAGAAAGGACAACAGGAAGTCAAAGTGAGGACAGTGAGGTCAGATGACTTATTCTCCTGGTTTCCTCCTTCCTGGGTCTCCATGGATTGGATGTCCCCGCTACCCAAAGCCACAGTTCCTACTGTGCTAGTGCCAGGCTGCTTCGCTTCCCTATGCTGGCTCCCTTAACTGTGCCCATATCTTGGTGTGCAGTCCCATTATTTAACTCTCCTAAAGCACTGTGTCGGCTATGTCATCTCTCTCCGGCAGAGTCCTTGGCTGATACACCAACTCATCCTTCAGATTCCAAATGGCTCTCCATGACAGAAGACATCCCTACTCTTTGCTCCCCTCCCAAGCGAAGTAAAGTCCTCCTGTTGTATGCTTTCTTATCATCACCTCCTCATGCCCTTCCTTTATAACACTCATCACAGTTATAGTTTTCTATCCAATGAGTGATTATTTGATTAATGTCTGCTCCCCTGGACTGTGAGGTTGATTAAGGGAGAGACTTCCATCTGCTTCTCACCCACCACTGAATCCCTGATAATTGCACAGGGTCTGGCACATAGTAGAGACACTCACTAAATCTCTGTTGAACAAACTAAATACATAAAAATGTGTCTCACCGGGGCGCC